CGTAAGACTGGATACGCCTTATATTTAAAACCATATCCGGCAAAAAACTTTTAAATTTGCCGCGAAAAGCATTAACGGACTCGGATCTTGTAAAGTATGCGAAAGACGTACCCTTCTTCAGAGGAGTGTTTATGCGTGATAAATTACCGCGAAAACCCCATTTAAACGAGTGCGCTATCGTAAACCTGGATGATGCTAAAGGAAGAGGTACGCATTGGGTTGCTTTCAAGAAACGCGGCATGAAGGCAGTTTACTATGATAGCTTCGGCGACTTGACGCCACCAATAGAAATAGTTAAATATTTATCCGGATGCAACATCATATACAATTATACTAGGGAGCAAAATTATAATACGCTGATATGTGGACATTTATGTTTAAATTTTCTGTATAATAAATAATAATTGAACCTAGAGTTTGTTTACTTCATCAGTCATGTCTCAAACGTTCACCTTAACAGGTGCCGGCAACGTCCTCAGCACCTCATATTTTCCGCCGATCGAACTAGACCGCAATTATCAATATGGATTAGGGTTGGTTGGCTTTTACGGCTGTAATTCTATACGCAATATATTTGAGGGAAACAACAAATTTTACTATGCAGCGGCCGATAGCATCTTCAAAGAGATTACCATTCCGAGTGGCGCGTATGAAATTGAAGAGATCAACAGGATTCTACAGCATCATATAAACGAACCAACCAATTCGATGGACTTTATGTTGAGACCTAATAATAATACGCTAAAATGCGAAATGAAAACCATACACGATATTGACTTTAGGAAATCGAACTCCATCGGTCGCATGCTCGGTTTCTCTCCTAAATTGTATAAAGGAGGTAGAACCCATGAATCTGATCTGGACGTGCAAATAATCAACGCTACTAATATACACGTCGAGTGTAATCTAACGGGTGGAGCATACAGAAACAGTGCGCTATCTCATACAATCTTTGAATTTGACGTACACGTTGAGCCGGGCTATAAGTTAATCAAGGAGCCGGCTACGATTATATATTTACCGGTACTCGCGCATCAAATAGATAACATAACCTTGAGGTTAGTCGATCAAGACGGTCATTTAGTAGATTTCGGCGAAGAAAGAGTGACTATTCGATTGGAGCTGAAAAAATATGGGACTTAAAATTTTCTGTAAGCAAGGTTCTTCATTTAGTCATCCATCGTCGGCCATCGACGCAACAATTGCTCACGGTGCATTAACCGAAGACGACGTACAGTTTTTGCAATATCTCGGCTATACAGTACTAAGAAAAGATGGAAGAAGCATTAAAAAACCTATTCACGGGCGTAAAGTATGAAGACATGATCGTGGAATGCGATCGCAGAACATACCATCCTTATACGACAAACGCTTATGGTAACTCCGATGAGATTAATCTCGTCATACAGAAAGCGGATCTCATCACGGCCACCTACGATAGCGTTATATATTTAGAAGGAACGCTGAATCCGACTACCGCAAATAAAGCTTACGATTTCACCAACAACGCGCCGCTCTTTCTCTTCGACGAAATTAGGTTTATTTTGGGTGATCAGGTGATAGAAACTGTTCGATTACCCGGAATAAACAGCACCATCAAGGGGTTTTGCTCATACACATCAGATCAAAGCAGATGCTTATCGCATGCAGGTTGGAGCCCTTCCGGGTCTCCTCAGATACTAAATAGCACGAAGACGGCTTTCTGCGCTTCCATACCTCTAAAGCATGTACTCGGGTTTGCCGAAGGATACAGGAAGCCTCTAGTCAACATCCGTCAAGAACTGATATTAATTCGTTCCAAGGACGATAGTGATTGCTATAAAGGCGAGACTGAAGTTAAGATTAATCTTACGAAGGTAACATGGAAAGTTCCGTACATAATTCCTAACGATGCTATGAAGTTATCGATCTACGGGAGGATTAACAAGAATTCGCCGATACAAGTGGCGTTTCATGCGCGCGACCTTTACGTATACCCAACCTTACCCAGCACCAGATCATTGGTTTGGTCGGTAAAAAGCAGCACCGGTTTTCAACGGCCTCAATGGCTACTGATTGCGTTCCAAACTAGGAAGCGAAATAACAAAGAAGCAGATGCGAGCGAGTTTAACCATTTAAGCATTTCCAATATAAAAGCAAACATTAACAACCGAAGATATCCGTATGAGCAGCAAAATCTGGTTTTTACCGATAACAAGTATGTGGATGCTTACGAAGAATATTTAAACTTTCGTAATCAATATTACGACTCGTCGCAGGAGAGCTCCCTTCTTAGCTACAAAGAGTTCGAAAAGCAGCCTATCTTCATTATCAATTGCACCCGTCAAAACGAGAGCGTTCATAACGTGGTGATCGATTTGAAGCTGGAAGTTGAAGCATCATCTGCATTTGCAAATGAAACTATCGCTTACTGCGTTATTTTACATGATGCATTAATCGAGTATGAACCGTTCACTGGCATCGTACGCAAAACTTAATTATAGGTCACGTAAAAGTGTAATTAAACTTTATATAAATGAAGAGTGTCAGTTTTGACGAATCAAAAAATAAAATTTATATCTTGCGAGTTTGGTCCTATGCTCACAGAGAAGCAAGAAAGGGTCCGTGGGAAACTGCCGCATTAGATAGGTACCGCTTCAAATGTAAAATAGAACGCATTGCAGCTGTTTTGGAGCCCATATTATGTAGTCGTATTAAGATGTATCAATTGCAATATAGTAAAAATGATTGAATTTGGTTGTTTTATTTGGAAAATTACTAAATTACATGAGTATTATAAATATAATAAACGTTAGATAAAGCGCAACAACAAAGTGAGCGCACATGATAGTAGCAACATGCTTCTAATTTAGGTAGAGCTGGTTCTTCTTCCACCTCGGTGACATTTTGCGATAGAGTTTTTCGAATGAAATCGGCTTTTTCTTTTCCTTTAACGTATATTTGGTCTGATGATGATGATATTAACTGGCGAAGTATAATTGGAAACATGTAGGATGGCGTATGACCGTGCTCCCATTTAATTCCGTGATGGTTATGAATTAGCCAGGTAGCTTGACGTTGTAAATCGGTAGATAAGCTATTCCACGGAAATGGAGGCTTGAACATAAAATGAGCAACCTGCTTGCCATTATAAATTGCCAGTTCTTTTGGTATAAATACGTTTCTTGATGTTTTAAATCCTTGTACATCGATTACAGTCTGCACCATTCTGTCGTTGACAGAAGATTAAGTATTTATAGCCTAATTTTTAATTCATTTCAATATATATCCCCCCACTACCACATCCTTATTAGTCCTCCAAAAGAAACTTTTGAATCAGTATAGATTTTACAATCATGCAAGCTGCAGTTGTCGTACTGAGCTGGTTTTTCTGTATTAGTGCTAATGCTGCTGCTGCTGCGGATAATGTCGACGAGAGCGATACAATCAGTGAGCGTGAAATCGATATGGCATATAGTCATCTCACCAAATATGGATATATAAAGGAGCCTGGTGAAGGTGAATCAACTCAAGATAATCGTACAAATATCACCGTTAACGCTTTAAAGAAATTTCAAGAACTCTATAAACTACCTAGTGATGGCAGATTAAATGCCGAAACATTACAACTCATGTCTCGACCTAGATGCGGAAATATTGATGACCCAGCAGCGTATATGACTCATCGGTATAAATGGACAAAACAGACTTTGATTTACTATATTTCCAATATGCATGACCTGCACATTTTACAGATGACGGATAAAGCATTTCAAGTTTGGGCGAACCACACAAATTTGAAATTCAAATATAGCTCAAGGAACCCAGACATATTAATATCATTTCATACCCGAAAGCATGAGTTCGCTTCACCACCATATCCGCAATGTGCATTCGAGTTTGATGGATTGGGCAATGTATTAGCCCATGCATACTTTCCCTCCAGAGATCAGAATGTTGTTGAAATGCATATAGATTGGGAAGAACGCTGGCATGTAGCAGATGCAAATGCACCTCCCCCCGGTTATTCTAGTTATTTCCAAGTTGTCTTACACGAAATAGGTCATACTCTCGGATTACACCATTCGAGCGATGAAAATGCACTCATGTTTCCTTATTACAATTCAAATATGATCACGCTACATGAGGATGATATAGCTGGAATCCGAGCACTATATCCTAGTGATACTGCTGGTACCCCTTCACCAGAGAATAAAACTTATCATCTTTCAACGCGTATTAAGACAACTACACCTACTCCCAAGACTACTACTCGCAAGACCATTAAACCACCTGACCTGTGTACCATTCAAATCGAACACTTTTTGATTCTAAACAAACGACTTTATATGTTTTATGAACATTGGGTTTGGATATCGGCGTTAAACAGCAGCAAAGTGGAACCTGCCAAGAATCTGCTTGAGTGGTTAACGTTTCTTCCGGCATCTTTTAAACGTTTGGAAGCGGTATATCAAAAGCCTAACGGTGATGTTGTCTTCTTTAGTGGCGGTCGCATATATATAGTGCAATTCCCTAGTCTGCAACTGCTGCCAGGATGGCCTCAACCTTATAGCCACTTCACAATTCCCAACAGCCATAAAGTGAATGCTGCAGTTAACACCTATACCGGACGCACGCTTATTTATCATGGTGCAAATGAACTGCTAGATTTGGATGATTGTAGTCATCGGCCTAAAAATCGCTTAATATATGCGGAAACCTTTCCGGATATTCCGGCTAAGATAACTTCTATATTCAAATACATGGATGGATACCTATACTTTATCACCGGAAATAAATTTCATAAATATAGTGAATATACAGGTCGTGTAATTCAATCAGGTGACATTGATCTATCCTTATTCAATATTCATTGTGCTAATAAAGGCGTATTGGAGCAATTATATAATGTATTAGCTAAACTTTTAAAGTTTGATAAACATATTGAATTGTATATGCGGCATTAGGTGGATAAAAAGTTGATGTGTATCCATACCTATGAATAAATAAAAAGCATTTTTATGTTAAAAAATTATTTATTTTAACATGCTAATTTTACTAACAACCGTATTTATAAATTTTCGAGGGTGAATGTTTACAATTTCTGTTAGAAGAGTCAAGTCTTGCAAATTATCATACTTTTCCTTCCAACTGCTTAGCGATGTTAACAATTTGAGATTTTGGCATATCAATTTCCCTCTCGATAACATGCTCTCTTCGCTAGTAACACCTTCGGTATGTAGAATTTTTGCAACCTCACGCGTAAAGTCATCATAAAGACAATACATCGCATAGTGGTTGGCAACATCCAATTTTTGAGTAATTACTTCGGAAGCGATAAATATCATATCGATTGCTTGCTTGGAAAATATTATAGATTTATCTGATTCGCTTATTCGAATACATCCTCCGTCTTCTTCTTCTTCCGCTTCAAGTATTATTATTTTGGACTCGGTAAAAATTTCATGCTTGCTCCTTCTTTTAGGCGTACACTGCACCATATGTTTAATTAAGTGTTCAGTTTTAAAATTGAATATTTCTTTCCATTCGCAACGCTCAAATTGTAAATACTGGTCATCATAATGCGGAGGACATGATATTTGCACGATGGAATCGAAAAAGTACTCGTCCAGTGTAACGCCAACTTCGAGAATAATGCCTCCGTCTAAGAATAACGACCACGAAGATATTAAGGTTTCCTTTCCTATAAACATACATCTTTTGCTTCCACAATAATCGGCGTTATTCAATGCATACCTTGCTCCTCTTTCGAGGATTCATTCACCGATAATTTATCCAGCGAAAGCGATGACTTTGCATCATCTTCGCTACCCCACGAATCTTGCGATTGTTGCTGTATTTGTGCACTCATCTCGATATAAATCGATTTTTTACTTTCTTATTACTCTTATACCTGCTCTTGAAAGTACTTTTGGAGGGGATTTGAAGAAATCCATCATGCGCAGTGTATCTTAAAGGTGTAGGTATAAAACGGGGATGCTAATGTTCATTTCGGTCCTCATATCGAACGATAATGGATCGAATACTTTACAACATCGCTAGGCGAGAGGCTCAAAAGGAGTCTAATTATATTGAGACGAAGAGCGAATTGTTAAGTTTAAGTGTAAATGACTTATTGAAAATATGGATCAAGATTCCAACCGTATTTCAAAGAGATTGTGAGCTGCGGAATCGAATACGATGTACAAAACACTGGAATCAACCATGGCAGCGCACCCACATCGATGGTCCAGCGCCGTTAATGATTTATTGTAGAGATTGTATTATGGCGGAGCGCACACAAAAAACTTTGTAGCTTCATAATTTCTAGCATTTTGTATATGTAGATATTTATTATATTAATTAAAATAAAATGGTTATTACACCTTTAAGCGTCTTATCATAGCTGCTATAAATAAACACTATCGCGAGATTGCAGCTTCCCATTCTAATTATAATAACAACTAAATTTCGCACGCTGTTACTCTATACCTATAGCAGGTAGGGTTAGCTGCAGCTCATATGTGAGTATCTAACGCCACCCTCTACGCCCCTGCAATCGCGCGCCCCTTTTAGCTCAGTTGACTAAAGCGGTAGATTCGTAATTCATGTATCGACGGGCATCCGTTCATGTTAACAGGAAACTTACATCCGGTAAATTCTAATCAGCAGGAAACAGCGTCCGGTCACGTCAACAGGAAGCAGCATCCGGTAAATTCTAATCAGCAGGAAACGTAAATGGCGGGAACAGGAAGCAGCGTCCGGTCACGTCAACAGGAAGCAGCATCCGGTAAATTCTAATCAGCAGGAAACAGCGTCCGGTCGTTAACAGGAAACTAACATCCGTTCACGTCAACAGGAAGCAGCGTCCGGTCACGTCAACAGGAAGCAGCATCCGGTAAATTCTAATCAGCAGGAAACGTAAATGGCGGGAACAGGAAGCAGCGTCCGGTCACGTCAACAGGAAGCAGCATCCGGTGTTGTAAACAGGATATCCTAATCAGCAGTATGCGTTTCCTGGTCCAGAAATAAACGCGGGAAACCTAGATATGACGTAAACAAAATGGCCGATACTGCATTCTGATTGGTGTGACGCGTTTCCTGATCCAACCCAAAATGTGACGTAAACAAAATGACCGATACTGCATTCTGATTGGTGTGACGCGTTTCCTGATCCAACCCAAAATGTGACGTAAACAAAATGGCCGACCGAAATACTCGATTCTGATTGGTGTGACGCGTTTCCTGATCCAGAAACACCGGAAGCAAAACACGCAAAATGTGACGTCACAAAATGGCCGACTCACGCGCTCTCATTGGCTCACACGTGACCACGTGACCACAATACTCGATTCTGATTGGTTTGACGTCACTTCCTGATCCAGAAGTCCCTTTGCTCATCTACTTCTAAATGTTCTAGTAACAATTTTATTGTCATTTCTGTATAATGACCGAAGTGTAGTGACCTTTATTATACACACTGTATAATCAATGGTAGTGCGAATGTAAATTGTAGTTTAAATACACTTTGGTCGTTCAATTGTTCATTGGATTGGTGGATGCAAAGTTTTATTTTGAAATCGAAGTAGTTCAAACGTGATGTCAAAGTCAAGCATCAACAAAACGGTTAGCGCCACAAGTTGCGTTTAAAAAACATGCAGTGTACTCCAGAAGAAATTGAACGTAAAAGACGTCTGGCACAGGAAAGATTATCAAAAAAGACAAAGTCTCCTTTTTCTCACTGCAGTGCGGAAACTAACCTTAATTCACCTCCAAAAAGGACACCTTTAGAAACATGTCGTAGCAACACTGCGAAAAGCCCATCCTCTTATACTCCCTACACCAACAAATACACACCATATGGAAAACCGAAACCTGTCCTGCAGTTTTACGGTGCAAAAAACGTCGTTACCGGAACCTGCTCGCTCATTTCCGACACGAGATTTACTGTTGAGCTCAGCAGTTACAGTGCACCTTGCATTGACACATTTAAAACTATTTCGTCAAGATTCTACGGTAAGGCTGTGCTTATGGTTAGCATTATTCAGTAAACATTTTAGATTCGAAAACAAAGTGCTGGAATTTTCACCTGGACGACTACCCCGTATTTCAACAAAAAGTATCGTCTTTACAACCAGACGTAGTCATTGGCAAACTGCCGGCCTATGTACTTGCGTGTTGTAGACAAGAAAAATCGGACTTCTCCAACGTAGATCTGTCTCACATCGACCCTGAGCTACATAACATCTTAATGCCTCATCAAATTGATGGAGTTTGGTAAGGTTCGGATTTGCAGATGTGTTCTCTAAGTGTCCACTTTTAGTTTCGGCATAGAGAAGAACGGAAGGTGTTATATTGCGGATGAAATGGGGTTGGGAAAGACTTTTCAGGCATTGGCCATAGCTAATTATTACAAGACTGACTGGCCGTTGCTGATTGTTACCACGTCATCAATGAAGTAAGTATGGAGCTGAACATACAGGGCCTTCAAACTTAAGTCGGCACTACTACTAACTTCATTATTATAAAAGATACAAGGTCGGCTACATTAGAACTAGTGTGTCTTTTTAGGCTGATTACAATGGTGAAAACAGACAAACAAAATTGACAGTCGCATTCTCAAAATATCGACAAAAACACACTTTTTTCTAATGGAACACCCTCTACATGGTACGTTGTTTACTCTATGATGGTACTTACAAGGTAGAGAATTACCTCAGAGTAACAAAGAGAGATAGAGATGCCTTGATGATTATGGAAACGTCTATATTTAAACAAGTTGTGAAAAACAAGCAATTAATAGTTGAAATTAAACACTTTATAATTTGCGATTCTGAGCCCTCTGGTGGCAGCACATTGCAATTACTATTGGTGGAATAAGACGTAGCCTACCGATAGATCTAGCCGTGACATTGATTTAGTGACGTCACAACTGGAGATGGGCCACTGCAATGCGATACCATGTGTTTAAATGCAATTAGATTCGCGCGCGTACTCATTTAACGCGAAAACATTTAGTAATTACTTATTTTGAGCCGCAGGATTGTTATATGTTGTTTCCTAATTATAGACACGTGTTATTATGCAAAAATTTTATTAAATACGTACATAAACAACAAATACTCACTGAAAACCGAGCTGAAAACAAATAAAATTTAAACATTCTAGTACACACATCTGCCTTTTTTAGCGTAACACAACGAAGTTGAGGTGACGCTTATGTGCTCGATTTTGCGTCGTCTGCCTATCTGTCTGTTCCATCGAGATCTCGGCCCCTGGACCACCTAGAGACTACAGGTTTTCGGTCATTTGTAGTTGCAAAGGTCTATATTTTCCCGTTGCTCATCATTTACATCCTTTTCATATATGATGGCTGATTTTCAAAAATGGTGGGATACGGCAAGTTTAATCTGGTCTCGTGGAACTGTTAATATTGTATCGTCTTTGAATACATCTTAACAACTTTTTTTGATCGTCTTCATTTTTCGGAAAATGAAAAACCGTAAGGAACCTTGTCCCTTGAACTATAATTGCTTTTGCAACCAGGGACGCAGCACGTATTTGGCATGTTCTTACTTATTCTGTTCGAATACAGTTAATTTAAGTGTACAACATTAAACTACTTGGAATTAATTACATTAAAAGTCGATATGACGGCCGCCGTCAGTTGTGACGTCAACGCAATAGTGGGGATGAGTGTCACGGCTAGTTCTATCGGTAGGCTACGGATAAGACCACCATTTTGTTTGTTTACAATGGCCAAAAGTAATTAATATTGGTCACATTTTATCGCGTTGCTTTCAAGAATTTTAAATGTGATCAGTGCAATTATGGGGGATAGTTTAAGAAATTGTCGTCCAACGAATAATATTTTCAAAGTCTTTAATTGTAAACAGTACAATTACACAACCAACAATAAGGATAAGTTAAAGAATCATGGTCTAACGCATGACATTTCCAAAGGTTTTAATTGTGAACCATGCAATTACACGACAAAAAATAGGATATATATACGTCATTCTTTGACACACTCCACTTTCTATCACTGCTATCAGTGTAATTACGCTACAATTATGCGTTCGCTTAAAGTGTCACTTATTAACACACACAACCTTCTCAAACATTTAATTTGTGAACAGTGTAATTGGGCTGATCGCCATAAGCAACACTTAGAGAGGCATAATATTCACATTGAAGGATTCTCATTTTAAGGAAATTAAGGAAAATAAACGTGCGGATCGAAATTTTAGAAAGTTTAAGACCCCTAACGGACGTTTCTGTGCCCTATTTAACTCAAAACGACAAAATCGTCATCGTCATGCATTTTTTAAGGATTTGGTGAAGGAATGAACAGATCAAATTTTGAGCATATCATTGTCACCTCAACTTTTCACGACTATTCAATTCCGTCGATGAAACTTGAAGCACCTCAAACGCCCTGCGACCTTAGTCCGATATTGAAAAATAAGTACAATAGAGGTACGTCACTGGTAAAGAAAAACAGCTGATGAAGTAAACAAAAAGTAAACACAGTTTTGAACACCGAGAATATGGCCGCCACATGAAAATTTGCTTCAATGCGCAGAAAAGTTTTCATATGTCATATTGTTCTTAAGTAAAAAAAACCCGGAAGCTATTGACAATTTAATCCTATTAAAACACACAGTAAATACCTAGAAACTGTATTTAGAAATTGAAAATTTACACATTATCGTCAGATCTTAGGGGTTACTACCTTCTATTTCTAACTCCTAAAACAGAAATTAATATGTTCGGAGCAATAGTCGCTCGCTTCCAACTTTAATCGCATCCAGATACCGAGTGTTTAGTAAAGCTGGTAGCAGTCACCTATGTACGGTGTGTTCATAAATTTTGGTATGAAATCTGAGTGTTTCATTTCAGTCGCGCTTGCGTGAATCAAATTCATTATACATGTCTTGAGTTCATTGAATATGAGAGTGATGTAGCATTTTGAGCCGAGTTTTACGCAAAAAACGACTAAAAAGTCTTAATTTAAACGGTCGCTCAGGAATTTAATCCTCATAACTCCCACTGTGCGTGTGATCCTAATCCCGGAAAGGCGGTTTCAAAGTTGTTTGCGTGTTTTTGCTGAAATTCATACTGACAGTATGCGGGTAGTTGCTTACTGTTTTGCTTATTTTTTTTTATTTTTGGCCTGTATTTTTAAGTGGGTATAAGATATCAGCCAAGTCTTAAAAAAAATCCAAACATATCCTGGAATCGAACCAGAGACCGTTGGTCCCGCAGTCGAGCTTCAACACCATTGCACCACACGGGCGGAATTTGGATTCTCGTTTATTTAGATATTTAGAAATTAAGAAACTGCATGTCACAACATCTAGAATGGAATCATCTGTTGTATGCAACGTTTCACATTACATTGCTTACTCTTCAGCAGAAATTAACGAGTTTTAAAAACAAACTGTACGTATTACATTACTAGCGAAATCAACAGAGTGCGCCATAAGTCCCGGATGGGCGGAAATAACCCAAAAACCTGTTTTAATAAAGAACAAAAAAACCACATGCAGAAATACCAGCAACAATCTTTATCTTTAATGGAAAACAGAAAAATAATTGTGTTTGTTGCCGGTAAAACGAAACTGTATGAATGTAATTGCTTGCTATGCTTTTGTATAAAAGGGACGATGAAAGAACGAAGAAGAATCGACGCTACTGATTAACGTGTTTATTGATTAAAAATATAAATAAAGGAAATTGATTCTAATTTTGTTCGGCGTGGATATGGAGCGCACACGTACTATAAATAGAGACAATTACGAAAGGAATATGGGCGAGAAGGAATTATTTGTTGTTTGGAAGTAAGTAATATTACACGAAGGCGATCACAGATGGCGACAGGGAAGCGTTGGTTGATTTTAGCAAAGAGGGTTACTCTTTGCTTTTAGCGACAGCGCGAGTGTTGGTTTTAAACGGCAAAGGCTGGGCAATGCTTGTCAGCGACAACAACGAAATTTTGCGTCGCAAATTAAATTAAATTCGATGAAATGACATGGTGCTTTTTAACAACCACGTTCATTGTTGACGATCTTCTCCTCGGATGTTGTTCGACTTGTGCGCATTTGAATTCATGCTAATTCTTCGACGGCTCATGCGTCACAATAACAGGTAGGAATATATACAGCGACACGCGAAATAGTTATATACAGGGCCTGCTAAGGATAATTTCTTTAAAGGAATAACTAAAGGTAAGAATTCTATTTTGGGGCACAACAGTTTAAAGAAATTAATAACATTGTCAGATTGCCGTTGAAAAACATGAACTGTGATTTCTACTGAAGCTAGTACTTTTGACTGTTTTGAGTAATCCATTTTATAGAGAAAAGCTGGAACAAAAACAACGATAAAACCTAGCGTTTTGACAACACAGTTTCTTTACTGATGATGACAGATTTTGTGTCAAAAGACGTTCGATTTATTGAAGGTGCACAGTGTAACAAGGTTTTTATCGCATTTTTGAAAAAATACGCTATTATATTCGTTATGGCTGACTGGCCGGCTGTCCGGGTGAGATCTCAGCAACTACAATAGTTAGAGATTTCAAATTTTCACTAAAAGCTTTCTGCTATAGTGTAGATGTGCAGGCTCTAGTCTATTTTGAGTTAGATTACTTGTGAGATCGATAATTTAAGAAAATAATTTCGTATGGTTTTCGAAGGTGCTATAATTTTACCGTTAGATAGCGCTACCAGTATAAAAACTTAATTATTTACTTTGTGATTTGTTTTACAAAATAAAGACGTATCCGCAATTGAAATTAAACGAAATTAATTATTTAACGTAGCCAAAATTACTCGTGAGATCGATAATTTTAAACTTCGCTAATAAAATACTAACCTGTATTACCAAAAATGCGCTTTAATCAGGAATATGCTGATTTACAACTTGTTTTATTTAAGAAACGAATGGGAAGCAACGATCCACAAATACCTACCCAGTGTTTCCATAATGCAGACCCAATACATGGTTTCGGCAAAGGACTACATCGGCGACTCGACGATTTTAATCCTAAGCTACGACTTAATGTCGCGTGCCATAGACAAACTGTTAGAGCGCCAATTCAAAGTGATCATAATGGACGAGTCTCACATGTTAAAAAACTTCAAAACCAAATGTACAAAGGTCGCGACAACCTTGGCGAAAATTGCGACGCGGGTCATTTTACTAAGCGGTACGCCGGCTCTCTCGCGACCTAGCGAACTCTACACGCAGTTGGCGCTGTTGGACGAAAAGTTCTTCGGCAACTTCTTCGAGTTCAGCAAACGATACTGTGATGGCAAAAGCACGAACTTCGGTTGGGATTCGACTGGCAAATCCAACTTGGCCGAGCTAGAAGTTATCCTAGCGAAGAAGTTTATGATTCGCAGAACCAAGAATGACATCTTGAAATGTTTGCCAAATAAGCAGCAGGAGATTGTCAATTTGGATGTGAAGCTGAATCAGCTGTCGGAAGAAGATCGGAACTCTTTAAAGTCACTGGCTCTCCTGTACAACAGCAAAAAGGCGCCTTGTGATAAGCACGCGGCGCTTTTAACGTTCTTCGCAGAAACCTCAAAGATCAAAATACCGTCAGTTTGGTTGAGTATTTTCACTTTGCGCGTCCTGTAGTTTAATTTTCATTTTGCAGCTCGTTTGTTTTGCAAGCGTTAGAGATCGAGAAAAAGTTTATTGTGTTCGGGCACCACCAAAGAATGTTGGACGCCGTCGAGCAGATCGTATGCTCAAAGAAAAAAAAGTACATTCGAATTGACGGCAAGACTACATCAATTCAACGGAAGTATCTTGTTGACAAGTTTCAGTACAACGACGATTACGTGTGCGCCATACTTTCGATCACAGCAGCGAACGCGGGGATTACTCTGACTGCGGCCAAGTTAGTTATCTTCGCGGAACTTCACTGGAATCCCAGCGTAAGAGTTTCGCATAGAGTACAGTTTTAGGTAAATTTGTTGAAATTGCAGATTTTAAGTCAAGCGGAAAGTCGAGCCCATCGAATCGGTCAAGATGGAGAAGTTGTTATCCGATACCTTTTGGCGCCTGGTACAGCCGACGACTCAATTTGGCCTATACTGCAAAGCAAACAAAAGATACTGAAGGAGGCGGGCCTCTGTAAAGATTCGTTTGATGACTTGCAGATAACAAACCAAGATTTATCCGCCAAGAAGTCCGTTCCTGAATCCCCAAAAATTACCTCCTATTTTCCGCCGTCTGATAAAAAAGAAAATGGATTTGAATCAGACGACGATTTCGATAAATTTGTAACGCACAGTGAGATTTGTGACAAACCGGAAGACAATAATAGTGACATATTTAATGATGGTTTTGAGGAAATTTTAGGAAATCACGATATTACCAGCGGTAACAGTTCGCCCCAAGTGAGTTTTTTGGATGATGGCTTGGACGATATATTGTGTAATGTCGAACTAAATATTTAGTGTAGGATATTTATAATTAAATCGTTTATATTTTTTGTTAAAAGAATTGCATGCAAATTGACTTTTATTTAAAATGTCCTTTTATTTTAGATGTGACTAGTTCTTGCTTTTCTAGATGAAATTGGTAAATTACATAGATACAAAAAACGTGATTGCAAAACTAGGTTACAAGCAAGTTGCAAAACAAAGGACTGGTTAGGTTACAAGCAGGTAACAAAACAAGGTAGTTCTAGAATAGAGGACTCATCTTTGGTGCAATAAAACCCTTTTTGTGAAAAAAAACGAGGAAAACTACATGGTCTTGGAGGGCAAATTTAACGTTCAACCACCGAAATCTCAATTCATTACGCGCATAGATTCAAAACCAAAGTTTTTTTGTTAGCAAGGTCCCACCCCTGGGACTGAGAAGTGGTCCCTCGTTCGGGAAATACCAACGTAATTGAGATTCGAGATCAACTATAGCCGCAATTATTTTGTTTACAGTATTCCCATCCCTGGGATTGTTTCTTTATGGTGAAAACTGCTAGTCAAACAATTTGATTTCCAGAAATTTAAATGGATGATTAAATACATAAATTAAATTTCGTCCGGGACCATGTAATCGAAATGTAATTCATAAATTGAATAAAACATTTACACCAAAAATGCTAACGGTTCCAAATGTGGTATTTTCTATACCTACACGTTATACGGCATTGAGGTTAAATAATGTCAATTTCGTAAACAAAGGTTCAAAATTATTTAAACAAAGCAATAAGATCTCTACAAAACACAAATAAAATATAAAGAAAGATTACCTGCATCAACTTCCAACCATCTCAAAATTTTGTGGGCATTGCCGTAAGTTGTATATACAATCAAGTTAATTGCTTCTTCGAAGACGCTCAAAGGGAAAAGGCCATCGAGTTTCACCTAAAACTGTATCTCAGACACAACCGTTGTCGGGTGTTTCAGAGGTGTGCAGTGTAGCAAACCTATCAAGTCGATAAAAGTGGATGAACTTGTTCTTTCTATGAAAGATGATATAACGGACGTCCGAGGGCTTTCTGGAACTTTTTGTTTCCTAGATAAGCAAATTGAATTGTGTTTAGTTTCAGTCTTAATGTCGATGTCGAAGTGATAAATAATGAAATTGGCCCTTGTGTTATAAATGTTACTGCTTACTCTTAATTGAACTGTCAATTTATTTAAGGACCGTTGTATAGTATTAGTTCCTGTAAACACTAATAATTAATTTTTTTCACTACTAGCGTCTGATGACATGATTATTAACCTTTTTTCCACTTGTAAAGTAGGCTTTCTCGGCATTTGTTCAAAGTGGTTAATAATTTTTTATTATTAACTAGTAGTCAATGATGAGAACTGTCACGCTGTCACTTTTAGAAAACACAACCCGAAATTTCGCTCAATGAACGTTTAGACAAGTTCTCTAAAACGAATAATTGCCACCATTCGCAATTTCCAGAGAAAATACATACCTAAAATTATCACATTTTGAAAAAATTCGAACGAAATTACTCTTTGAAAATATCTCAATGACAGAACAAAATACGGCCTGTTTGACTTGTACTTCCACGTACTTGATTAACATGTTAAATTAAGAAACAAACAATTCTGTCCAACCGTTAACTCTCTTATCAATATAATATGTTAATTTAGAGGATTTCAAGTGCTAGTAGTGAAAAAAAGAGTATATATACCACGGTAGAGAAGTCTATTATTGCCTTCGCACCTTACACCCCTCGGCGCAAGCGCCTCGAGATGTAATCTTGGTGCTCAGGCAATAATAGTTGACTTCTCTACCTTGATATATAATGTACTATTATATAAATAAACATTTGAATAAACCACGTATTAAATTCAAGTTGCAATATAAAGCAAAGTACGTCGTACCTATTATAAGGTTAGTTACTACACCATTAGCAACTCAAGAATGGCTGGACTAAGCATGCTCTTTGATTTGTTAAACAAATGTCTGTGCCCCGAATAGCACTATTAAAATACATTATTGGAAAAATTCAAGAAAAAATACAAAGGCGATGGTGGCGAAACGGACGGAGGACATCGAGACTCTTCACACGCGCCGAGTGCCGACCATCCGCGGCGTAGAGGGAAAGTTAGGAAGCCGTAGCGGGAGATCAGGGAGTTGCGAGTTTTTGCGTTGGCTTCGTAGTTCGAGGGAGCTTTCGATGCCCCGGGTCGAAGTTCGATCGTGGGGAAACGATGAGGTGTGAGAGCAGAGCCGTCCTTAGGGTGAAGCGAGTGGAGCGGTCGCTCCAGGCCAGCTTACTCTCGCCAAAAAATATATAAAAGTTTTGGTTGAATGAAAATAATATAATAATATTTTAATGTATAAATATATAAAATATCGGTCTGAATACCGGCGCAATATGTTTGTTTATTGTCCCTCTTGTTCTAGGCCCTCAACAGGCTTACGCCCAATTAGTGGGAGCGGCCCGTGAAAACAAACGGCATTTCGTATTAAAATTGTGCCACTTGGAACACATGTTCCCTAGACCTATTGGAGTGATTTGAGTCGCAGAGCCGGAAGTTCCGTCCCTTAGGATTGAAAATGGCGCCAATTTTCAAAATTGAGGCGAATTTCAGGAAATATCTGTTTTTAGAGCGATTTTTACGTTTAGGGTGACGTTTACGAGGTTTCCAAGGGTGAAAACGACAAAAACAATATCCGAAACTAATTTCTGTGTGGGAAGCATAGCATGATTGTATGATAGCATTGTATTTAAACAATGATGATAGCTTTAACGTCCGACAGGATTCGAAAGTTTCTTGGAAAGTTTGACCGATTTTCCTGGTTAAGGTAGCGTTTTTGAGATTCTTTTGGGTGAAGATGACCAAAAAAGACCCATTAAAGACCTGTTTCTACAATCGATATCCAAAGTAGGCATTTGCGCTCCTATTTGACAACGCAAACGTCATATTTTTCGAGGAATGTCAATTTGTCGCTTATAAGCGACAAAATAAAAAAAACGCTCGCTCTCCAAATTATAAACTATAAACAAAGAGTAAATTATGGGTACTCTTTGCTATAAATCAAATATGCATTGCTCAGAGTATCCAATGACAACGAGTAAATGACATCTTTCATTTGGGCATAAGATTAAAATAATAATCTATATTTGAGTGAAAAATTTAAATTTTTGGAAATATGTGAACTGCTCGATTGTAGAAAAATCTTGTGTGTAATTCGAGCGCAAATTGATTGTAGATTTCAAGAGATTAGCGCGGCAAATGTCTCTTTCAATCGACAATATATCATTTTGCGCTCTTAATACACAAATAGCTATTTTTTATGAATTTTTAAGTATTTTGAATAAACAGGTCGAGGTAAACTAAGTGCAAAGGTGAAACTTATTCATTGAATTCGGTTTTTAACTAAAAATTGTTGATTATTGAAACGTATTTACAAGTAAAAAGTCATAAGTCATCAAAGGGGAATGCCTCATCATCGCTCAGATCTCCTGTTGCAGTCGAGATATAAAAAAATATGTAGTTAAGATCATTAAAAATAAAACTCTGACAGTCACGTTTATAAAATAAGCATGTACATATATACTCGGCTCCGATTTTTACAGTGTTCTTGACAGTTAGAACACTGTAGGGTGCAGGGAAGGCTGTTTCGCAAGCATGAACACCTTATGGTCTCACAAGTTCCCTTGCAGTCGCATTTCCCTAGGATTGTGAGCTGCTTTCATATTTACACCTATTTGGTCCAGTTTGGTTCCCAGCCCACTTTGCCTCGTGTCCCTCCCCACGTTGACGGATGTGGAGGGCATTCAGTAGGATAGAAGCAGTGCCCCCACAACACATGACCTGCTTGATTGGGGACAGGAACTGCAGTAATTTATTTTTGGTACAAAATAAATATTTTCCCACATTAGTAGTGAATTTCTCCGGAGCTTCGGGGTCATAGAGAACGGTAGTAAATTCTTCCAAAGTTTTAATTGTTTTTTTCTGTTATTCCTCTTTGTGAATTGGAGAGTTCAAGTAAACCCAAGTAAGCCCAAACACCTGACAGATATCCTTCTTTCAGTCCGAGTTCTTTCAGAAAAAAAACAAAATATATATGACCATCAGAACGTCAGTATCTAAAGACTGCGTAACTTGTATCCCATCAAAAGGGAAAGCGTTCTCAATCGTAGGAAAATGCGGCTGCAAGTCAACTTGTGAGACCATGAGGTGCTCATGCTTACGAAACAGCCTTCCCTGCACCCTACAGAGTTCTAACTGCCAAGAACACTGCAAAAATCGCAGCCGAGTAGGTACATGCTTATTATAAACGTGACTGTCAGCGTTATATTTTTAATGATTTTAACTAAATATTTTTTATAGCTCGACTGCAACAGGAGATCTGAGCGATGATGAGGCATTTCCCTTTGATGACTGATGACTTTTTACTTGTAAATACGTTTCAATAATCAACAAGTTTTAGTTAAAAACAGGATTCAATTAATAAGTTTCAGTTTTGCACTTAGTTAACCTCGATCTGTTTATTCAAAATACATAAAAATTCATAAAAAATGCCTTTAATGCGTATTTTTTGGTAATCTTCACCCAAAGAATCTCAGAAACGCCACCTCAACTACGAAAATCGGTCAAAACCTTTGAATCTTGTCGGACGTTAAAGATATCATACAATTGGCTTCCCACACAGAAATTATCTTTGGATATTATTTTTGTCATATTCACCGTCGGAAACCTCGTAAACGTCACCCCAAACGTAAAAATCGCTCTTAAAACATATATTTCCTGAAATTTTAAAAATTGGCACCATTTTCAATCCTAAGGGACGGAACTTCCGGCTCTGCGACTCAAAGCACTCCAATAGGTCTAGAGAACATGTGTTCAAAGTGGCACAATTTTAATACGAAATGCCGAATAATACCAATATTTATCACGAGCCGCTCCCACTACAATTACAAAGTTACCCGCATAATGCTTTTTTAGAGGTGCCCCTGCAGAGGGTTTTAGTTGTTCTATACTACTCCGGTATTTACCTTACGAATTAGGAAAACTGCAGGAAAACCTAATTCGGAGTAG